ATTTTAACGGGTTTAAATTGTTTATCAATAAAAAATCCCGCTGTTTTTAAAACCACCTATCCAGTGGAAAAATAGTTCTAATGAGTAATCGTTACGCTGTTACAAAGGTTCTACGTTATGAATATATTTGCATTCGCTACGCTTAGTGCCTCATTTAGCAACAATTCTGGACCAGAGTATCTAATTCTCGTCTAGCTGCACAGCCAAAGTTCCATTTTGTGAGCGTCTCGACTTTTGTTTGAGGTGGTTCCATGTGAGTTTGGACCTCGCTTCGAGTGCCCTTAGGTCGTTTCGCAATCATTCAGACCGTCAGCTGTCGGTTGGTGGCTCTGTCTTTCGGTTTTTCAGCTTTTCAGTTGCTCAGTCTATCGGCTTTTCAGCCAGCGTCTTTGGCTTTAGACGCATTAATTTGCAGATAATTTTATAGACATTAACATGCAGTTTTTCTCACTCACTTTTCATATTTCTTGGGATTTTTTGGTAAGTCATGTTGCATTTTGTCTAATGACTCGACGAATTAACATTTTTTTACAATCGTCAACTTTGGTTTGTTTGTATTCGATTCTTTATGGCCCAGAAAAATCCCCATTTGAATGGTCTTTCGACTTGGCATGAGTTGCTGAATTCTAAATCTTTTTCTGTTTCGCTTCTGCGGTTATGGGCGACATGTTCTTTGTCAAATATTTATTGCTGTTTTTCGGTTTCAGCTGGAACCCGTTTTCGTTTCCTTTTCTGCCTGAATATTAGTTAAAACTTAAAAATTGTCATCGAGTTACTTAATATTTAGGTATTCATGCCTTCAGCTTGCGCGATTCTTGAGTGGAATTCTAAATGCGAATTCGATGTCTATGGAGTGAAAAGGCGTTTGTGTTTTTTGTTTGCTTCGCCAGCTTTTTCATTTTTATTTTGGGTGGGGTTGTTTTAGTTTTTTCTAAAGTTTACCTTGTTTTGAAATACAAACACGAAACAGTGTGGGACTTTGGCTGGCCGGGAAATTTCTGTATTTTCGAAAAAACTCAAACTCAAAAGTACAAACACTGGGAGGGCTGTCATTAAAAGCAGCGCCTCCAAACACAAATCATAGTTATGAGCAGTAAATTACAGCCAAATGCTCGGCAATTAACCGAGAGTGCAGCTAACGGATAATTACACGGCGTGGCTGAATATTCCACGGTGATAAGAGAGTTTAGCCTTGATTGGGATCTCGGATTGATTATTTTTCGATTCGGAGGCGTTGATCATTAGGCAGTCATTAGTAATTCAAGAGGTTTCGATGAGGAAGCAGAAACCATTCTAAATTCTAAATTATTTTTAGCATTGCCAAGCATTTTCCGGGTGACACTTAATGGGTTAAATATTGAAACAATTAATTAAACGCAGCAACTGTTAATTGGTAGTTAAAAATCAATGAGTTCTGACGTAATCGAATATCGAGTGAGGGAATATATATTCGAGTCAGGTGGAGAAGACAGTGTTTTTGGGGGCAAATCCGATCCGCACTTATTAGAAACAATTAACTGTGTGGAATTTTTGGGGATTTTTTCTTTGCTTCTCTGTTGTATTTGCACTTCACTTAAAGCAATTTTCTTTAGCGCTGTTTTTTTTTCACGCTCAACCGGCATCGCAAAGCTGTCAGTCAGCTGAGTGATGAAAAAAGTGAAAAAAACAAAGCTGCACATAAATTAAAACGTCAACAGAAGAACAAACAAACGAGCTACGCGCACTTTGTCAACGATTATTATTACTTTAACAAGCAATCGGAGAAATATATACACACTTTTGTAATTTGTTGGGATGGACGGCAGACCGCAGACGACTGATGAAATGATGGGCTTCACATATGTGTGGAGGGTTTTTTTATATTCCTCGCAGCAGCTTCTTCTTTTCTTTTCTCGGTTTTTGGTTTGCGCATGCGCGACGACCGGCCACGTTTTTGTTTAATTTCGGATTTACTTCTCGACTGGCGACTGCGACTGCGCGAGTCAACGAACGAATTCGTAGTGAGTTACTAATTTTTCAAGTGAGATCCAAAACCGGCAACTCGAGACTCGCCACCCGATCGACCACGATCGACTATTTGGTTTTGGGTTCGGTTTTTTTTGCGCTCGCCTTGAGACGTTCATTTATTGCATGCGATAAAAGAATACCACGATTTGATTTTTATTTTTATTTTTATTGAGTGCTAACCAATTTTGATGGTTTTGCTTTGGCCAGCACGACTCTTGAACGCGACATTTTCTCAGATTGCATTTCCTCATTAATCTCGCGTTCTTGGTCAATTACAAAACAATTAAAGCAGCAAAACGCAGTTAATTGTTGGCGGTGGCAGGAAAACCCGAACCCAAATCGCTGGCATTTTTCGCAAAATGCAGAGTAATCAGCCGTGCAGGAGGAGCAGGGTGCACTGTGCACCCAAAATGATAATTGCTGTCATGACAAACGCAAAAATAAAGTTTAAATAATAATAATTTCACTAGCTGCAGTTGCGGAATGCCCAGGATGGGATGGGGAGTGGCTGAGAGCAGGGGGCGGGCGACATTAAGAAACCATTAGCAACAGCCGTGCTGGCAACTGTCAAGAAGTAGCAGCACACTCAAAAAATCAGATTTTCCATCTAAAAATTAAAGACATTATAATCTAATATATTTCACTTATTTATATTTAATCTCCTAAGATTTTAATAGTGAAATGGTTTAAAAATCATTTACAAATTACTGGAAAAATTTACAAAATCTTGTTTTTTTTTTTTTTAATTTAAATTAAAACTTCTTATTTTGTAAGAAATGGATTTGTGTCAATAAAAATAAATCAAAATAAATAATAATAAAATAAAATGATTCATATTAATAAATAAAAATATGAACAATTTCTGTTTAAATACTTTATATATATTACTTTTACACGAGTCTTTTAAACTTAGTTCTGCAATTCTAGTTCTTAAATAATATATATCCGAAACAAGAAATTAATTTTTCCAGTGCCGCAGTAACAGTTATGGCGGCATCAGCAGCAGTTCGAGTAACAGCTGTGGCAAATGAGTGGGCGCTGTGCTGAAGGGTCAATGCAGTCACAGTTTCCGATCGCAGTTCGCAGTACGTAGTCACCGCATCAGCGGCATCATTTTTCAAGTGGAGCACTCGACGGCAGTAGCAACAAAAAAGCAGGGGCGGTTGCTAAGTGGGGGTTCATTCAGGGGGCGCCAGAGTTTGAGGGCTGCTGCTGCTTCTGGGCCTCCACAAATGTGCCCATTCATTAGGGTTTAATAAATAATTTTTTCCTCCTTTGCGGAGTTCTTTTTTGTTTTGTTTGCGGAGTACAGTTGGCGAGACTTTGACAAGCATCCTCTCACATCCGCCCCCGCCCCGCCCTCTTGACTCTCGGTCAGCGGGGGTTGACGTTTAACAGCATCTGCCTTTGTGTGTCAAGTGGCGCTGCACAAACAACCACCGACTGGGGGGCTGGAGGGGCGGAGGATTAGCAGTAAGTTCCGGGATAATGTGCTAAACCCTGGGTTAGGGGTGGATAAGTATAAAAAATAGTTGCAAAATTAGTACTTCAGAAACCATTTATTAAAATTAAAAGGTTACGAATTTATTTAACATTTATTTTTCCACTCATCCAATAAACAAACATCAATGTCTTTGTTTTTATTTATTTGAAATACATGTCGTTGATATTTAATATAATTCTGGTAATATTATTATATGTCAAGCCTTTCTGTATATTAAAAAACTCTGAAACTGCACAAAAGCAGTTATTTTAAAGCTTAAAGTAAACAGATTATTCCGCTATGTTTTCTTCTTTTTATTGAGTATAAACGATGTAAGTCTTACGTCTGGCATTATTATATGAATAATTAAAACCGATATGGTCTACCATTTACTTGGTCATTAAGTAAAACAATTATTCAAACCATTGTGTAAAATGTAATTGTATAATTCAAGTGACCATCCACTCTAAGAGAATCGGCTTTATAATCTTGAGTTTCCTCCTCTTCAGCCACATTTCCCAGACCAATTTGTAGGTAGATTATAAACCGTGGTCTAAGTACAAAATATAAAAAAAAACGATTGGCAAATAACTTTGGCAAGGTCGTGTGTCTGCTGGCTTTGATTTTCCAATGCGTTTCGCACTGTTTTTTTCAGCCGTATTTGTTGTGCGTTAATTGCTGTTTGCGTTTGCGTTTGGCTTTTGTTTTTGCTCTGGCCGAAATGACTGGGCCAAGTGTTAATTGCACATGTTGTATTGTGGGTTTCCTTGGCTGGGCCTGTCTTTCATCTAGTGCAAATATAGCTAATTATCGGTTTAATAGGCCAATGAATGGCCCAAAACCTTTGGCGGGACTACGTGACGGATGCGTGATGTTCGTGCAGAGCGCACAAAAACTTATCGCATGATAGAAATTGGCAGTCTTCGGCTTTCAAAGTCTTCTGTCTGCTCACTCTCCAGATCGCCGACTCTCTGCACCTCTCATTGCCATGTAAAAGTTGAATGAATTGAATAACATCGGACCTGAAGTTCGGGTTCAAGATTGTTTATTTCGGCAGCTGTCCATGGAGACGTGGGCCGGTTATTGAATGTTTTCGGTTTCATTGGCTAGACCGACCCGGCTTCAAGGTCGTCGAACAAGTTCTTCGGCTGATGCTCTTGCAGTTAGTAAATCTTATTGGAATCTTTTGATTTTATTACGATACTCTTGCTGAGGGTATTTCTACCTTGATCACCAAATAAAGTTGGGTTCTAAAGAGACTTTAAATAAAATGGAGAAAATATTAGAACTTGGGAGAATCATATAAGAGAACTTTAAAATTTATTATGAAGCAATTAAAATGAACTTAAATGTTTTTGCTAATTTGCCTCCACCTTGATCATCTTAATTTGATTAATATCACTCCACTAACTATTTATAACTATGGCGTAAAAGTAATTCTATGAGTCGTCAAGGTATTTTCTTGGGTTTTTTCCCCACCTATTTAATTCCTTCCTGTTTTTGCGCACAGATCCATGTCTGTACATCATGCGTTTCGCCAATCGCCTGCAGTTGGGTGCCAAAACACACGAGGTCTCGATGACGGCACTGCGGATTGTGCAGCGCATGAAGAAGGATTGCATGCACTCGGGACGACGACCCACTGGCCTTTGTGGGGCAGGTGAGTGAACTGCGAAATCGCGTTTAATAGCCACAACTAAAGGGGATTACCTTCGACCTTAAGCGCTGCTGATTGCGGCCCGCATGCACGATTTCAGCCGCACCATGCTGGACGTGATAGGTGTGGTCAAGATCCACGAGTCAACGCTCCGCAAACGCCTCTCGGAGTTTGCCGAAACGCCCTCGGGCGGCCTGACTTTGGAGGAGTTCATGACCGTCGATCTGGAGCGCGAACAGGATCCGCCTTCCTTCAAGGCAGCGCGCAAGAAGGATCGCGAGAGGATCAAAGATGTGAGTATAAGTCAGTCCCTAAAATTTTTTATTACTTTCCCCTCTTTCTTTTTAGATGGGCGAGCATGAGCTCACGGAACTGCAAAAGGAGATTGATGCCCATCTGGAAAAGGACCTGGGCAAGTACTCGAACTCCGTGTACCGTCAGTTGACCAAGGGAAAGGGAGTCACTCCAGTTAGCTCGCCCGGCACTCCCAATAGCACCTCGGAAAAGGATCTCGAGCTGGAGGAGTCCAGGCAGTTCATCGATCAGTCCAATGCCCAGGTCATCAAGGACCTGATAGAAAAGAACGAGGATGTAAAGAAGACTGAAGCCGGCGGTTTGGTGGCTGGCATCGAAGGACTTCGTCCAGATATCGAGGCCATTTGCCGGGTGACCCAGAGCGATCTGGAGGATGTGGAGAAGGCCAAGCAGCCGCAGGAACAGGAACTCATCACCGACGACCTGAACGACGACGAGCTCGATCAGTATGTGCTGACCGAGGAGGAGGCGGTGGCCAAGCTGGAGATGTGGAAGAACCTCAATGCCGAGTATCTGAAGGAGCAGAAGGAGCGCGACGAGCGGCTGGCCAAGGAGCGTGAGGAGGGCAAGCCGGAGCGCAAGAAGCGCAAGCCGCGCAAGAAGGTCATCGGCCCGTCGTCCACGGCCGGCGAGGCCATCGAGAAGATGCTGCAAGAGAAGAAGATCTCCAGCAAGATCAACTATGAGATACTCAAGACCCTGACCGATGGCATTGGCGGGCTGACGGATGACTCACCGGCCACCAGTGCGGATACCAAGCCAAGTACCCTGGAGGAGCTGAAGGCGCAGCCGGTTATCGTGGAGGAGGGACCGATTGCGCCCAAGAGCAGGGCAGCCACCAGGGCAGCATACGATCTGCCAGGACCCAGCAGGAAGCGACCCAAGGTGGAGGCTGGTCTGCCAGTCAGCCAGGCGGCAGATGAGGAGCAGCCGGAAACCAAGCCAGCGGTGGTGGTGGAAGCAGGTGGGTTAAGTCAAGTAACTATTGTCTTTCCTCCAATTTACTACATACATTTCCTTCTCAGATGACCTGGACGAAGAAGCTGAAGAGGCTGATGCCGAGCCCGAGGCAGAACCGGAGGCCACCCTGCAGGACATGCTCAACACGGGCGGCGGCGACGACGACGAGTTCGGCTATGGCTTTGACGAGGAGGAGGAATACTAGGCATTTAGAATTTAAAGCATTTTAGTATCTACACATCTTTTATAGTAACCAAGCAAGCAACCTACTCGTAATACAATTAAATTAAGCATTAAGGGCCGCGCACTTGTTGCAGCCGTACTCCTTTGCAGGGCCATTAAATCATGGCCTACTCTGCTCCTAGCAGCCATTTACATGTTTAAGCCATGTCGGCGGCGGGGAGGCGCTGAGCCGGAACTACCGTGCACTTTGGACTGGTACTTGTAGCCAGCTTCTAATTGTTGGCGCTGCCGTGGCGCGCCTCCAAGTGCTGCAAATAAATATTTCACTCTTAATCATGTTTTGCACTCTGTTTTGCTTGCCTTTCTCCGGCGCTGCAGGCGGCCAGTTCAGCACGGGTTCAGCACGGCACAAGTTCAGTTGTTGGCCCGGCTAGGAACTTGGCCCGGCTCCACGTTGAGTGGCAAGTGCCCGGCAATGAGCTGTTGAGTCTGCCGAGCACTTGTCTCTGCGATTTTATAGTTATTATGTTGTAATTAGTGTTAATTTACTTGCCTCCGGTTCAGCAAGTCAGCAGCATCAGCGCTCCCATAAAGTACAGCATAGTTTGGGGAGATTTTCCAATTGTAAGCGAGTTTCTATTCCGAACAAATTAGCTAACTTTATTGTTTTACTTTAGGATTAAGTTTATGACTTATCGGTAAAAGTATAAAATATGTTGTGTGTACTGAAAAGTCTCATTTTCATTTTAATAAATATGTAAAAATTAATTCGGCTTGGATTTTACTTTACTTTTTCTTTTCTTAATTTTCTCCCTCTTATTAAAAATTAATATTGGATGCAAAAAACGGTCAATTATCGAATGGATTTCATTATGCGTAGTTAACTTTCGCTTTAAACTTTTCTCTTATTACGACTAAAATGTTTGCAACTTTTCCGTTCGGAGAACATGTAATTCATTTCACTTTTCAACAAATTTATGCCGGAAGTAAAGTTGAGAACAGGCGAGCAGCTTTCCCCGCTTTCAACTTGAAATTCGCCAAATGGCTGCCGAAGCAGGCTGAAGGCTGAAGTTAACTGCACTTAATGCCCGTTCGCTAATTTGCATAAGCCCACAGTCTGGGCACCAAGGATAATTATTAATAAAATGCACACGAACCGCTCGAGAGTCCTGGATGTGGGGCGTGGCCCTGGCCATTTTCCATTTCCCGGAACAGGCTTAGCTGGCTGGCAAGTTGCAACGATAATGTGAATTGTATGCACATGTAAATCCCCGAGCAAATGTGACAGTAAAATGGCAATTAGTAGACATCTTGACTTGACCAGCCACTTGGAAGTTTCCTGGTCAGTGCGACTAATTTATGCGCAGCCCGCTGGGAACGGTTTTAAACAGAGGGGAGCTCGTCCTGCTGCTTCCCTGGCACGCCATTTGATGTGGATAATCGCCCGATTAAGCGCATTAATCCCTGATGATATAATTTTATTGCTTTTGTGCACGCTTTCTTCCAGGACTTTTTTTGTCATGTTAAATCAGAGGTGTCATAATGAATTAAACGAAAATCTGATCATTACTTTTCTTAGTTTAAAATATAAATAAGGCAGATTTAAAAAACCAATATAAATGTGGTTATGAAAAGTTAAATGAAGTAGCTTTAATATCCCTTGTCTATTATATCTCTTGGGCATGTTTATCATAAGCAGGGTATTGATGTCGCTCACCTTTAAATTTGCTTCTCGCTCTCCCGTCGACTGTCACTTGCGGCATATTAATTAAAAAAGCGTTCTTTGCCGCGCTAAAATTCAATATAAAATATATGGTATTTATTGAACAAACGCTCGCCATATATTTTAATGCAGTTTAATTAAAAATGTGCCAAGCTGAGGTCATTTCACAGTTCTGGCGGATTTTGTTGGGTGCTCTTTTTTTTTGTATCTGTTGATTTACTTTTTTTCCGGTGCTTTTGCCCGCCTTTTCTCTCAATAAAAATTTTATCATTTACACTTTATTTGCGGATTTGGCTGGTTTATTATTAAATACAGCAGCCACAGGCTGCCACGCTCGGTGGACTTGCTGGCGACGCTGGAGACCATTTTGAAAAGTATTTAATAAGTGGAAACAAATAAAGCGGCAGCGGCAAATACCGAAAATGCGAAAATAATGCGTTTAATTAAAATAAGTTGTGTGGGTGCCTGTTGAATCCCGTTGAATCCGCTGGCCAGGCGGAGGGGACACAAATGAATGGGTAAATGAAAGAACAGAGCGTTTAATACGCTTAAAGTGCACTGCATTAAGTATACGCCGTGGATGACCCTTGCCGAGAGCCCTAATTTCTGCCACGCCCAGTGTTTAAATGGACATTAAGCACTGGAAATCTGATTAATTAGGTCCGACTGCACCGACAAATTAGTTGCATTAAGTGCAGTTTTATCGCCGACCCAAAAGTCTGCAACAATTTAAAGCTACCCTTCAATTTTGCGTTTGATTTGTGATTCAATATTATGTGGGCCAACTAATTTATGCGCTAATTATGTTGTGTTTTCGGCTGTCGAGTGTTATTTCGGCCCGATGAATAATTAAAACGCGTTCTCCCTGCGTGCCCATTAATTAAGCCGCTAAATGCTTTGTTTAGTAATTTGTTTTGGCCTATTAAAGTGGGTTAGGCCCACGGTCTCAATGACAAAGTGAGAGTTTAATAGCTTTTATATTTAGTTCGGCTGTCTTTTTTACAGTTTCGGTAACTAATTTCAAATGAATAATTGAGTTCTGGTTTACATTATTTGAACAAGGCTTTACAAATGTTCTTTTATTATTTATGAAATTTTAAAGGATTTCAATAATAATTGTATAAAAATAATAATACAATTTTTTGTAATAATTTCTTAAGTTTGCGGTTAACGATGTAAATATAAATTCTCAAAGTTTAAACTTTCATATCTCAAAAATTTCAGCTAATGGCACACTTTTGAATATTAGATCTTCTTCAAATAGACTTGTGGAGCTGGCCAATATAAGGCCATTAGTTAACACATGCTTACACTTTAACAGTCCTTCGAAATCTCAGAGTCGATGGCGCAGTGGGACCATAAATGACGTTGGTAATGGCGACGACCTGTCCAATCAGCGGATCGCTGGCGAGTGTTTGCCCACTGTTTAAGCCGCAAGATGCCAGTGGGTCAAGGGGTTGAGGGAAAGGGGTCTTGGCCAGCTTTCGAAGGCTGCTGATTATGGCCTGGCATTAGCAACACAAGGTGAGTGCCACCGCGCGAGTTGCAGTCATCTGCGGAGGCACGCATCCTGCGATGCAGTGGCAGTTAACAGACAATTTCCAATTGTCCTGCCCCACGCACACACCCTGCCCATAAACCACGCACATTTGGGCCTGCATGCAAATATGCAGTAATAAAGTAAATAAACGCTTGCCAGCCGCCATTAAGCTGCAAGATGCAAAAACAGCACGGAATTACAGGGTAGATTCTGTAACGGAAAATTAGGTTGTTTAGGTACATACAAAATATATATTAAATTAAATATAACTTTATTAGAAAGTAAATATTAAGCTTTTTGTTAATGAGAAAAAATACATATCCTTTTATTTTGTTGTAACACTGTAGTAGATAGCTTTAGCGGATATTTACTGTACTCATGCATCTATGGCCGGCAGCGTATTGAACATAAAGTGCCTGGCAAACTAGGCAAGGCTGTGATTGCAAAACACAAGTGCAATTACCTGGCCTGCAGGCTCAGCACATACACACACATGCACCCAGATCACTGCTCTCCCAACAGCTGAGGTCAACAAGATAATAGTAATTTTAAAATTTATATAAAAAACTTTAAATAATAATAGTTATGAAGCTTGCAAAAGAAGAAATAATTACATTTTATGTGTATTAAAACTGTGTAGTACTTTTATCTAGGACAAGATTAAAAAGTTATTATTTCTGCAAGCGGTAAGACCCATATTCATTTTTAGAATGGTATACCTTTTATTTTGACCACGACTGTAAGGCCGCCTGCATGAATGTACGTTAGCTGGGCGCCGCAAAGTAGGCAACGATAATGTCATAAATTCAATGAATAAACATAAACGGAAAAAGCAGATACACTCACACACACGTGCATAGACCGGGGCACACACACACAGCATACATAAACAGCAGCTGCGTGAGTTGGGTGTTTGCCGCGAAATAGGCAGGAGCAACAACAACAACAACAATGGGCAGAACAACGCAACATGAACATCAACGGTGGCAAAATATGTATTAGCCCCCGAAGTTTACTAACAAAATTAATTATGCGAATTAAGCGCAGTAAAAGCACTTTAAGCAATCCCCCCTTCCGCCCCTCCGTCACTCCAAAACTCTGGACCACCGACGACCGCACCGCTAACACCGCAGCAGCACCTCGCCCAGAAAACACCCCCTTCCCACCCCAGATCTCCAGATCCTACGGGGCCATAATATGTGCCGCATTCTGTGCCGTGTCATGGAACTACACTGCCAAGTTCTGTAGTTTTCTATGTTTAGTATAAGTAATAATATTAAAAAAATAAGAACAAATTAATTTTATATGCGGTGTTTATAGGTCTTCAGAAATATTGGGTATTTTTTAATATTACTGTACAAATTTGTATAATAATTACTAATTTACAAAGGAAACTATCAAGGATCAAGCCACTGAAAATGGCTCAAGCTTGTTGACTAATTTAATTAAATTAAAATAATATTACTCATTTTTGTATATTAAAATCAATTTTTGATAAATTTTGTGCAATCACATGGATATCTAAATATATCAATTAATATAACTTTTTAACGTCATTTCGACAGTTGAGTTATTATTAAGACAAGTTTGTATATTATGGGTCTATGCTTGTTTAGTAATTAAAATAATTGAATATATATTTAGCATTAACAGGTCGCCAGGACTTACAATCACTGAGTACCCTATCCGCTTTTCTCAGTGCAGGGCTAAGAACCCAGGGGATGGGGATGCTGAGAGGCCAGGACCTGGGGCCCGGGTATTGTTCAATTTATGCGTGTTTGTGTGCGTGTTCCACTCAGGAGTTATTCTTGCCACCATTACGCTCCCTCCGCGCTGGCACGGCTTTTCGCCAGTTAGCAGTTTGTGGGCGCCCAAGTAGGCCAAGCACCCGGACCTGGCCAAGTGCAAGCCCCAACAGTCAACAGCCAACAAGCAGCAACCAGCGAGCAGCGAGCAGCAGCAGCAGCCTGGAAGTTGTTTATTTAAGTGTGAAATTTAAGTGCAACACTGCGTAATGTGTAAGGACCCAGCATATTTAGCATTATGGCTGGGGCAGATAAGCGACATCGACTTTAATAACCCCTGGCAGCGGAGATTGGGTGGTAACTGAGCTGCCGTAATCGTAAATTGACCTGCTAATAGATAATAAAACAAAACACCAGAGAGCAAACATCAGCCAGAAGCCAGGCAAACAAAAAAAAATAACGGGGAAAAAAGTGTTATTGCAGCGAAAAAATCTGGAGTGCACTACTAGCGGATTTTTGGCGCCGCCGCTGACCGAACGAAATAAATATAACAATTTGTCGCCAATTTTTGGGGTCAGGCAGACGCCAGGCTAATTTAGCTAAAAGTTTGGACAGCCACTTAGTTAATTGTCGCTGCGATTCAAATTAAATACATAAATATGCAGGCAATCCACTCATAAATTGTGACTAAAAAAAACAGAATGACAGTTTACACCACCCTTAAGCGAAGTAATGTTCAATTAGTTTTATTTATGAGTGTAAAATTCAACTAAAAACACCATAGATTTTTGTATGTATTCGCAGTATCTACTTACCATGTTATCACTTCTAATGAATTCAAATTTAATCGTGTAAACATGTCCTTTTAATTACATAATTAGTTTAAGCATGGTTTTCTATTTTTGATGTATAAAGTTTTGTGATTCTATTAATTTATCCGTCAGAATATTTATTGCGGAGATAAGGGATGGAATTAAAAATTTTTAAAAGCTTACAGTTAGTTGTCCAAAGAGTATTTCTCGTTAAATTAAATACCCAGAAATGCAAATGCAACACCATTCGCCATGAAAATTGCTTTATACCTTTTAAAAAACTTTTCTGGTAATGCTATGGTAAAGCAACTTCTTAATTTCATATTGTAAAATATGATTTCAGCATTCCATATAAATAGGTATTCAAAATAAAGAAAAAATCTTTCATCTATATTTTATTTTTTAACTTACACCTAAGAGGTATCAGTTGATATTAACTTTACTGAACCTAACTTTTTGTATGCATTTTATTATTTAACTCTCAGTCAATTAAGCTTATAATAAAACTGAGTAGAATTTTGCCCAGGTCAATAAATGTATTTTTCGATCAGGAATTCAATTTTAGTTTGGCTCTCACATTGATTTAGATATGCTGGCAAAGGGAAATGGAAAACAATGGATTCGTTAATGGTAAATTAAATCAGAGCAAACGAACTTAAAGCTTCACTGCAAACAGTTGAAAATGTGAAAAAAGCACGAACTACTCGTACGTTGGCGATTTCCCCTTTGGCGAATTTTGTGGTGTCGATGAACACTATAAATCAACTGTCAATCAAGAGATGCTAAATAAATGGAAACACAGCTAAACTTGAATAAAGTTCGCCGCAAACTTTCCCCCGAAACGAAGGAGAGCCAGAGAAAAACTTCAGACTGAAGTTGAGCCAACTGCCAGGCCATGACAGACAGATCCTGGCCATATCCTCGCCAGCCAGCCAAAACCCCAAAAAAGGATGCCATCAGAATGGACGCTAATTAGCGTGCAAAGTTAAATAAAAATCAGCGAAAATTCCGCTTTCAATGCAGCATGGCATATGGTAAGATAATTAATTAATACTCACTCGGCTGATTGGTGAAAAACGATAGTCGGGGCCGAGGCAATTAGCCAAGTTCTGGGCCCAGGCCAAAGGCAAACAATGATGAACCCTTGCCGCCGCTTTCTCCATTGCTCTTGCCGTCTCAGTCTCGCACTCTCGCCCCCTCTCTCTCGCTTAAGCCCTCTCTGAAAAGTGGTTGTGGGTGGCGGCTTCATATTTTTATTTACTTCACTGGGGAAATGAATGCTGAAAATAATCACTTAAGCTTAAACGTAAGTAGATTTAAAAAATACTGCTTTCAGGGTTATTTTTTAATTGCCTCGAGAAGGTTTATTACCCTTGGAAGAATATTTAATTATCTTATTAAAAGCGTTTAAAAATATTAAATATTTGATATTATATCATTATCATACTTCTTTTAATAGCAGTAAGTAATTTTTTTTTCAGTGTTTTTTTTCCGTTTTATATGTGAAACGCTTCTGCAGTTGGTTTTTTATTGCTCTGCTGCCTTTTGCCTTTGCACTATGCTCCCACGTTCTGGCTGTTATGCTTTTGTTTTTTCCGCCGGCTTGCTACCGAGCTTGTTTCTTGAAAAATAATGACTGCACATTAAGTGTCTACACACACATGCTGTGAGGACAAGGCAAGTAAAATGTCAACAAATGACAACAGAAATATGATGCAAATGGCTCATGTAAGTGGTTCTTGCCGCCAACATTTATAAAACAGGACAACTTACAATGCAACAACAGCAAAGCGGCTAGAAGAAGACCAAAGGGGGCTAAAGTGGCGAGGAGAAAGTGGGAGTTCGAGAGTGGTGGGCGTGGCGGCGTGTCTGTCTGTTTGTCCGTCCGTTGTAAACATTCGCCATTCTGCTTGGCAATTTTTCATTTCCCATTTCACTCCGCCATTCGAGTATAATTCGCAGAGCTTAGCGGGGCGAGAGGCGACATTTGCTTAATGCTGAAATTAGCTTTTATTCGAGCATCGCGCATACGCCGCGTTGGCCGGAGTCATTGCCATTGAAATGCCTTTCAAGACTCTCGACTGCAATTAAAAGCGCATTTAATAGAAATTGTTTGAGTGCAATCGCATGCCAAGGACATCTAAAGTACAGAAGGCCCTTGACTAAGGTGGCCCAAACCTTGCCCTTATAAGGGTATACTCTATCGATTGCCTCGCATTTTTGATTGCTGGTCTGCACGAAAAGAAAGTATATAAATTAAATTGGTAAGGAAAGAAAATCTTTTATATTTCAATTTTAATTTCTTATACAGAACTCTTTTTATCATCTATAAAAATTCTACTGATTAATTTCAGTAAATGCCTTTAGTTAATATTTCAATTAAAATAAAATCAAGGATTGATTAGAATAATAAAATATTATCATCTTAATTTGACTAAAACTATTTCTTTGGCACTAGAAGTTAAACGCAGGGCGAATATTTTGGTATTTCCACCGAGTTCCTTCAATTAGCTCTCGGATCACATTGGGAATGCGATTGCTTTCTCGGACTATGTGGCTAATCAGCGTTATGTGCGTTAAGTCAACAGCCGCATCAACATTATCATCATTATTTGTACAAAATGAAACCGGCCAAAGCCGAAGCCGAATCCGTAGCCAAAGCCAAAGCCGCATACTCACACAATTTGGCAATTTGTGGCGAACGGCGGTCAACAAAAAGCAGTTCGGCCAAAGGACCATCCAGGACTACACTGACATTCGGTCAGTCTGTCAGTCAGCTGGTCAGTTGGTTGGATTTGTATGCTCCGTCCTGGTTTCGGTTCTGATGGTTCTGGTTTTGGACCACATTGATATTCCACGCTCGATGCGCGCCGCTGTTGCCATTGGTCATTGAGGCTCACTCATCCTTCGTCTCCACTCCTGGCCACTAACGATAGATGTCCTTAAGCCAACATACACTCGCACATATTGCTATAAAAAAATATTTATCTATATGGCGATATATGGCCAGAGCACTGCGTCCTGCCATCCAGCCATCCGACTATCTGGGCAACTTTGTCCAAAAAATGTTGCCAGGCCCGAGCGAGCGGTGCTTTGTTAACTTTTTCAGTTTAATGAAATCAATTCACAAGTCACGTTGTTGCTGGACAATAAATACATCAGAGTCCATTTAATAAAATCATGATGTGCACTTTGGGATGATACCCGCACGCCACACATACATCATCTATGGGTGGCCATATCCCCTATCGTATCGATTCGTATATTGCAAATAACTTTCGGCTCTCATTGGAATGCCGCATATGGCCGCTATATGTACTCGAATCATTTGCCCCCCCTCGATATTCTTACCCCCAATTGCTCGATAAGTGCGCCGCAGTGCTAAAACTTAAATCAAAATCCACATTGAGCCACTGCAGCAAACGTTGGCCACCAACCCGACTCACTGGCAATTTGTTGCGGCTTCTGGCTTACTTTTCGGTTCATTATATTGATCTGTGACTTGGCTGTTTGCTCTACGTCTTTCGCACACTCATTTTTATTTGAGTGCCCCGAGAATGGCGAACTGATTATTGGGGAAAGGTGGGTGGGCAGCAGGTTTAAATGGAACTGTTTTATGAGTGCAGCAATTAAGGGGAGGGGTGATTGGGGCTACGTACTAAGTATACGAAAAAACCCCTTCTTATCATTTATATATTTTGCAAGCCTGTCAGAAAATGAGAGTCTTTAAATAATTAGGCAACGTTATGTAGATTTAAGATTCAATTTATTTTCTTAGTCCAATCATTAAAGTTTAATAATTTGAATCAGATATAAATTTGAATTTTTTATTACATTAATAAATACAAATATGATATTTTTAAACATCTACCTAAAGAAAAAGTTGCTTGAGCAGAAATATTTATAACAGTTACTAATGCAAGTTATATTTTAATTTTTTTTTATTCTCAGAATTTAAATTGTTTTAATTTGTAAGTACAAGTTTACTATCTATATGACTATTAAGAACCAGTTTCCATGCTGTTCCCACTATTTAAGACAATTTCCTATTTAATCTGATTCTGCGCACTCGAGCCGAAACAGCTGTTCAATTCAAAAACGCGTTCCCATTATTATACGTACGAAAACAACAACTGTTCTACGCTCAGCTGATTCAGACGTGCTCTTTTGGGGACCGGTTCTCTTAGTCCTGACCATAGATAACCGAGAATGGCTTGCCATCGAACACGGCGAATTGAAGGGCCTTTCTCCCTTAGCCGAGAAGAAAACTCGTGGCCCAGTGTTATACTCGCCGTCCGGAAAACGAGAGATGGAGCACACGAAGCTCAACGAATGGAGGCGAGGACTCCGTTCGGGTGACGAAACATCCCGAATACGATTTCTGGGTGCGTGTATACAGCCTCCGTGCATATCTGATGGCCAGCGAGCAAATCAGTCAGATGCGTGGCGAACGTTGAATTTAACGGTCGGTTTGGCAGTGAAAGTGGAAAGTGGAAGCCATCGCCTTGCTCCACGAGAGTTGTTTGGTGCGAAAAATAGAAAACAAAAATGTACACATAGCGAAGGAGTATGAAAGTGAATTAAAGCAGAAAATAACTACACGCAAGTGTACAGTACAGTGTTCAAACATTTAGAATAAAAAGTGTTCAAACAGTCAGAGTTTTTACTCTCGTGTTCAAACAATCGATATAAATAGAGTTTAAACATCGAATTGCAAAAGTGTTCAAACATTGCCATAGGTTAAACAGTTAAACTTTAAATATAAAATCAAGTGGCACCATTTCACTTTGGAGTTGGAGTCTTCGAATTTGCTGGTAAATTATTCAAGCAAGTTTATTTTTTCCGGGGGTAATAGCAGCCTAAGATTCTGAATCCTCTGCCGTCATAAAGTTATACAAATTATTGCCTTTCTGTCTGCCATTTTGGTTGGCTTTAAACTTTCGGTTCACGCAGCGTTCGCATTAAATTTCCTATTTTGTTGTTTTCCTGCCTTTTATTTCCTTTCCGCTATTCGCGTGGCACATGCGGCGTATACGCAATGTATACGCTTCTATTCTACTGGTTTGTGTGCCTGTGTGTGTGTGTATAACCTACATTTTTGTGGTCCTTGCTGTTTTTCCCGTGACAGACTGACATTCAGACAGTACCGAAAACAGGATCTTGAGATGGGACGACGACCCTGTAACTGTGACTTTGCCCGCTGAGAACTGAGAGTTAATTTTATGGATTTACGACCTTTGTTTGCTTGGCTTAAATACTGAAATACCGACTGATCCACAAGTTGGCGGTGCTCTATATTAATTTTTGTCCATTTTTGTATTATGTCCAAATAGTTTTCGGCCCAAACTTGGCCCTATGTTCGCTATAGACCCGCGCGTTTGTCTTCATCAACTTGGTCCAACTTTTACCAAGTGATTGTTGATTTTGTTTGATTTGCTGTTTTTGTTTTGGTTGTAGCTGTTGGCTTTATTTGATTTTAGTACTTTGGCAAAGTCAACATTCGTTAGCAAAAATTTCGCTCACGTTCCATTCGACCGAGTTCTCGATTTCATGAGTTTTGGATGCTGCTGCTGGTCCGTGTTTGCTTCTCTGTTCCGCCGCTTAGCCATCGCTCCCCTCTAAATATATACGTATTTATCCCTATTCCTATTCCTGTTTTTGTCTCCAACTGTCTGGATCTCGCCCTGTTTGTTTTTACCGCCTCACTGTGCACTGTGCATACTGTGCGGCGTACACAAATAAATATATATATAAATCGGGCGGCTATATGCGCACTGGTCCGATGTAGTTGCGGTGCTGAGTGGTGAGTGGGGCTAAGCTGGGCTGTCCTTAAGATTATTTATGCGGTGATTAGCCGAGCTGAATTATTGCTGAAATTATCAAGTGTGCTATAAAATTTCACTGTCATTTATTTGCGCAACTTTTGGCGGGGCTCACGTACTGCTAACCGAACGCACCCGCATATCCCCGATCCGATCCGATCCGAAACCATCTCCATTTACTCCACTTCAAGCGGTTCCGTCTCATGTGTATCGTTGGCTCGTTTTGCAGCATCGGTTTTGGGTTTGGCTTTGGCTCTGGATATTCCTGGCTGGGTGCGTGCGAGTGAGTGTAACAAATTGCCAGAGTTTGATTTTTAAGTGTGAAATATCGCACAGCGAAATTGGATTAATTACACTGGGGCTCGCTTAGATTGCGTTGGCTTTAAAAGCCAAAAGCGATGGTAAGCGAGGAATTCTCGTTTAAAAAACCTGTTTGGAGAAAAAGTGTCGCTCAATATAAAGTTCACAGGGTACCTATCATACCAAAAATGTGATATTTTTAAGTACAACATAATTACCAAAATTATTATATTCTAATTTTAGAAAATCTTTAGAAATAACATTGTTCTTTTCAATATTATTTGATAAGGTGGATTGGAAATATTTTCCTGAATTAATAGCTTATCTCTTGCTGAACATCCAGCTGTTGGCCCGAGCCGATTATTCACTTATCTATGTAGTATTTATGAACCTGCCACAGTTTCCTCTGGGCGATAAGGATGGGCGTCCAGCAACTAAACATAAATAGCTTGTAGAGCCAAATAAGGATTATCCTGCTGGGCCGAAGGAAATGAGATTTTCCACCAGGAGCGGCAGGCTCCGCCGCCCACTTTCCACAGCGCCCACTTAGCCAGCAACTAATTGCCTAAGCTCCAACCTGAATCCAAATGAGATACTGAGCTGGATCTGCGGCCAGTCCAAAGTCTGAGAGTCTGTGCAGAGATTAATTACATTTAAATAAACACGAATGGCTGCAAACATGGCCAAGACCGCAACAGTTACATGAACAATTCAACCGAACAGACAACAATAGACAACTGACAACTCACTCAACTCAGCTACACTCGACTCGTCTCGATTCAATTGAATTCAATTTTATTTGGCTACTTTAAGCTGATTACCGCCTGAGTTTGGGGCTGAGTTATACATTTTGCACAAACTAAACCATTAGCTTTTGTTGCAAAACCAGCAAATTCCACTTAGCAGGCAAATGTTGTACATTTGATGAGGGTATCAGACGAAGGGACAATACACAATGCTGTACAAAATGTTAGTAGTGTTAAAAGGAACTATAGTAAATCTATAGATTTACATCACTTTCAAAAAATAATAAATATTTTATAATATGTAGTTTTTAATATATGAATAAAATGGTTAAAACATAAAAGCCATTGGTTATAAAACTAGTTTGTATGATTTTATCATTTCCTATAGGAAAACTATTATTTTTTTGCACACCGCTGTATATGTTTTATCTTTTTTGGTAAATGAAAGTCAAAGCCGAGTTTAATGCCGGGTTTAGTGATAGCAAAAGCAAAAGCGAGCCTCTTGCATATGGCAAATGCCCAATGATTTATGACTGGAACGGGCCGACGCAGTCAGCAGACTTTTGTCCCGCTCACAATTGGTGGTGAAAAGCGTGAAAAACTGTCGGCCACATGGAAAATCTCGGTGTGAGTGGGGTAATGTGGGAATGCGGCAGAGTAAATTCAATTTTACGTTTCACAACTCAGCATGATTTCTATCAAGGCGGGGGAATCCCCAACCCTTTTTCCACATTGTGTACCGCAAACTGATTGCTTTCGGTGCTCCCTCGACTGTCTGTGTGTTAAAGATCCTTGATGTGGGTGTGGGTGTGTGAGTAGCTGGGTGTGTGTGTGTTAGCCCCCAAAAGCAGGCTACATAAAAAAATCACTAAAAACTTGTAAAAGCATCAAAGCGCACTTTCTGAGCTCTCTGCTCGAAAAGTTGGGCTTGTTCGGTCCTTTGTTGTTGTATCCTTAGTGTTTCCTTTACTGCTCTCGTTGTTGTTGTTGTATTTGTTGCTGCTGCTGCCGGTGGAAAGTTCACAACTTTTCAAGTGAGTTTTGAGGGCGGTTTTTGGGTCTAGCTATTGGCGAAATTGCTTTCTGATAGCTTGGCTGGTGTATTTATGCAGTTTTAATGAGAGCTGCTTGTGAAGAGGTTGTTGTTAATACAGGAAATTAATAAGTTAAGTAGCCATTAGGTGGCTGAGTGCAAAGTTCAATCGCCTAACTTTGAGTCTCAAAATGGTTTTAAGGTACTTGGGAAAGAATATTCCATATTTATATATTTTACTCCGTTAAATCAGCAACCTTTTTATAATATTTATAGATTCTCAGTTAGGAATAACTTTAACATTTTAATTTTCTTCTTGTTTTGTTTCTTTTTTAGCGCACATCTGGTTTTTCCCAGTGCAGTCTGAGAAGAAACACAAGCCTCTCTAGTCTGTGTTTTCGCTGAATCTTTTTGGTTTCTTTTATATTTTTGTGACTGCTGCTTAAGCCGCGTTTTATTTTCACTTGAGGCAAGTGCAGTCATCTGTGAAAATATTGGCAAAACTCAAACAGCGCCAGCATTTGACATAAATCCTTATTATCCCTTTGTGCACAAATTGACATTGCACTTGTAAGGCGATTGCCGAGACTCTGCTTGACATCCCCCCTCCCTTATTCTTGGCCCCTCTGCCACCCAACTTTTATCTGTGGCTTTGTTTTCACTGCCAATGCAGTGGGAGTGGCATTAGCAGCATCTGACAAATGCAGGAAGCCCTGGCAGTCCTGAAAGCGAGCTTCGTCCTCGGCACGTCCTCGCACTTAATTGAGGCTGACACACCGCTGCAGAGAGCATAAAATGTTGGCAACATTAAGTAAATATTATCATATTTTATAGACGAAAATATAAGAAGTTGTTCTATTTTTCTAGATTTATTTTTAAACCGTTTTATTAACGAAATTCTAATTTTATATCTACATGTGACATGTCTTTAAATTATTACTAAAATAATAAAATGTTCACACTACTCCTATCTTGAACATCAATATTTTTTTGCCCAGTGTACCCTCTCTCGCATAAAGTGCACGAAATTAAAATTCATAATGTTGACTTTAATGGGGCTAATGCTGAAATATCAAAGCTGCTGGCTTAGGTGGCAGCCAGCACATCTCATAGATTAGCCGGGCTGCCATGTAAGCGGAGCCAAGAAAATCCTGGCCAAAAGGCGTCTTCTTCCTGTCAGCCAGCCTGGCATTTTATTATGCGACACGCAGCCCAACCACCTTGGCCCAAAAAGCAATGGAGCAGAGGCATCACCCGGCCCAACTTTGACGTTATTAAATTATGCGGAGATTTGCGCACTTTTTTTCTTCTTCTTTAGATTTTTGAAAGCCTCTTGACGTTCTTAATGATGAGCCAGAGCCAGCTACTCGCCCTCCCCCTCAAAGAACCCCGACTAGGCCGAAATTAAATTATTTTATTGCCGGAAATTCATTAAATCATGCCTTTATGCAATTTCCAGACTACATTGCTGGCATACCAAAGTGGGGAATCTGTCAATTTATCGGCCTTTTGGGGCCTGATAGACAGCCTGTCGGCATTTTTGTCGGGCCACGCCCCGTTTCCCACTCGGAAACGCCTTTGATTAGTACGTGCCGTTGTTAACATTTCTATTATGCTTGTTATAACGTTTATTTTATTGTTTACCCGGCCAAAGCGCGCAAAATCGATTGAGTTGTGATCTATTTCCAGACACATGCTCAAAGCCCCAAAATCCCTAGCAACGCGACGAGACAATGCAAATCTGACACCGCCAGCGAAGTGGAATTTTATTTATGTTTTCACTGGACGGCGGCAAAAGCGATGAGGAATCTGAGCCAAGGGCTTAGTCCCGGAAAAACCGAAAAACCAAAAAACCAAAACAATCATCAAAATAGAATCATAAAAACAGTTAGCAACGATCATAAATTTTGCAC